AATCACTAACTCAAATTCTAAATTAATCATTAACTCAAAGTCTACTTCATGATCTATCAAGTAAGGATCAGCTAGATAGAACATTTGGGAGGCAGGACCATTTCGGCATATAGCATTTATGAAATCCAACAACCAAGTCAACGTGACCGTTCTAGACACATCTCCTGTAAGTAGATCAATCAATAAAACGACTTTGAATCACTGATAAATGTTGTTTATAAGTTCATAATAACGATAATGAACTTAAACATAAGTTATACTTAAAGTATGGTAAACATAACTCACTTACAAGAGGATTAGCGAGGAATCGAGCTCTACGCGCGCAGAACTTTTGAGCTGAAAGCTCTTCTCTTCAAGGCCTTCTGGCGCTCTGGGACTCACTACTAACACCTACAGGAACGCCCATCGTACGTACCCAACTCCCAAAATTACGAAAATGCCATTTTGGTATAATTTTGCAAATAATTCACATCCATAGTCTAAAATGAAATAAATTCTCATACTTAGGGTTTAAAATGAAAATACCTCAATATCAAGATGTTACATTGAGTAATTATTTAAAATAAATGAATACTAATAAGTCATAAAAAAAGCCCCCATTTGAGATGCCCTTAGTCCCAACTCCCACATAAGCCGAATATCGGATAAATCTCATTTTGTGGTAGAGTGTGAGATTAGAACGGAGTGTAGTAGTCCTCCTCTTTTTGGATGAACATAAATGGTGGGTCTAAATCATCTAACTAGCAAGTATGTTTAGGTTATCGACCAGAGTAGATGACAATACTTAACTATTATAGGCGGGCCAGTAAATTACGTTGCTAGTGTGGATTTATAACCTACAAACACAGATACAATGGGATACCAAATTTATCAAATACTTTGTACATTGGTTGCCTTAATATGACTTACACGAGCCAAGGACTCCCCTAGTTGTGTAGTCAAATAGTTGCTCAGACGATTCATCGGGTAAGGTGATTCTTCCTGATGATCATTGAGTTAGGATTTGTGATAATTGATTGGGCATGATAGGTGGTTTTACATCAAATTATATACACCTATAATGTTTGTTTGTATGAATGTTATTATGATTTATAACTATTAAAATATTATGTGCTTAAAAACCTTATGCATCTCTTCAGGTTTCTCAATATAAGGGGCTTAGAGGGAGGGCAAAGTGGGCAGCTGCACAGGGCTTAATTTTTTTGATTATATATTTTTATTTAAAAATACAAAATTATAATAAAGATAAGGGCCCTTTTTTTCTTGTTCGTCCTGGGCCTTTAAGAATATTTCATTTTTCAGGACCGACCTTGTTTCTCAAACCTGACTCACTCAATTTATATGCATCATAGGTAGTGGAATTAAGACTATTGGAAACTAATTAGGCTACCGAGTGAAATAAGAAATGAGTCTGTAATATTATTTAAGAACGACAGGACCTTTTAAGTATTTACTTAGTAATATATGTTTGGATATTAATGGTGGCATCCATAGAATTTTAATATAATGAAATAACTTATGTTATCTCAAGTTGTTTTAATTAGACTGAGATTTTCCATAACAATAACTTAAAACATAAAGAAAAAAATTCAATTGGTTATGAAAATATGGGATGTGACGGTTCAAATTCTTTAAAGATTTACAAGTTAAAAGGCTAACGAAACCTAAGTACTTTATTCTTCTTCGTTCCAAAAGCATAAATCTTAGAGGTTAAGAAGGATTAGAGTTGCTAAACAAGGGGAGTATGTTATATGCTTTACTGGGATACATATATGCTATATAAATGATTTATGTGTGAAAGAAAATTTTATGATAATTTATTGCCATGTTTTCTTTCATAAAGTAATGTTATGATTATGTTTTTCTATATGGCAAATATGTAGATGTTATGACATGATATTAGCATGACATTTACATTTACATGTTACACATAGAAATCATTTGTTTACATGATAAGTAAAGCCATACATATATATATATATATATATATATATATATATATATATATATATATATATATATATATATATATATATATATATATATATGTTCATGTGTTTAAAGTAAATATTGTATTATTGTATGCATAAATGTGGGCCAATCAAAATTTAAAATAAAAATAAATAAATAAATAAGGGTAAATAGGTAATTTGATAATTACTTTCCATAAATAATATTCTATTATTAAGGTAACAATTGACTTAGTTTTCTCCACCCGTCGTCTTTTAAAACCGTAACCCTAATCAGCCCTTTTTGACAACGACCCCATGGACACTCGCTGGAATGCTCTTACTTGAAGTGCTAGAACAAGCGGCAAGGACAGAAACCTTAGCAACTGAATCGATGCACACCTCCGACCGATCCCATCAGGTGAAATTGAATTTTATTTGTGTCCGCAACCAGTACACCGCTGCACAAAATCCATAATAATTTAGTATTCAATTGGTTGCATAAATCCATGATTCCAAGAAGGTACCAAATCTTCTTCTATATTCTTGTCGTATTTTATTTCAACATTTAATTTTCATTTTACAATTACTGTGATATGAAGTTCCTTTAAGAATGAGATTATCTCATGTTAAAGAATGAAATTTTGTTTTTGAGTCAATTAAAACCGTGTACTAGAAAAAAGAATAAATTTTGTTTTCCAAAATTTGCCAGCACATTTAGTTAAAATCCAATTCCTTATTGATGTTTGATTAAAAAAGGCCCAAACCTATTGTTGCATTCTTGACTCCTAAATCCAAATTTCATAATCTTTTAATGTATAATGACATATTATGCAAAGATTATTAAAAGTTTACAAACTCATTGGAATACTTACCTCGTGATAAGCATATTCTACACTTCTAGTAGGTAAGTATCAAATTACCCTTTTGTTCTTAATTACTAAACAATAATTTGGACATATATGAATCAGATGATTTTGTTCAACTTATTTATACCTGATTTCAAGTAATCTCTTAGTGATTTGTGTATTTTTTACAGTTCCATTTCTGTTGAAATGGAATGACGAATTTCAATTCTGTTGGAATTACAGAAGTTGATGTTTGAAAAACGGACCACAAAATTGAAACAGACAACATTATTCTTTAAGAATGTATTAGTCGTTGTTAGAATTTGATGTATTCTTTCCGATTTTGATTGTTTTTTAGTTTTATTCTTTAACGATAATTGTAATTATTAACAATTTTTACCCGCATTTATAAGAAATAATGTATTTTTGTTTTTACTCTTCTGGTGATTGTTCAAGATTTTTGTTATTCTACAAGAAGTTTTTATATTCATGATCAATTCAAGAATATTTCTATTATTTATGGTTCAAGAATATTTTTAATTTTGAATATACTCATAAACATATTCTGACAGAATGTCCGAATTAAAATAATTATAATTCTTAAAATCGGATTTTTAAAATTAATAGAATCTATGATCCCTTAAAAAATGCAATTTTCTTTTATTAAGTCTATATTAATTGACTGAATTATCCTTATAATTAATTAAGATGATATTTTTCAATTATATTTAATTTACTAATATATATTAATCACTTTCTTAAAATATATAAATTTGATTGACTCATATTTATGCATACAATAACACAATAGATACTCTAAACAAAATAACCTAAGTCTATATATATAATATGTGCAGGGTTAAGCCACATCATCAATAATCAATAGACATCGACTACTACAAGTTATGGTCCTTTTTTTATAGTTAAATATAGAGTTTACGCCATAAAACTATATATATATATATATATATATATATATATATATATATATATATATATATATATATATATATATATAATATATATATATACACATTATGGCGTAAACTCTATATTTAACTGTAAAAAAAGGACCATAACTTGTTGTAGTCGGTGTCTATTGATTATTGATGATGTGGATTAATCTTGCACATATGTCCATTTTATTGATTTTTTATTTTTTAAAGTTTGACCTGATCAAAACAGAAGGACTTTCTTTTGTGCGTGTGTGGACTGCGATAGAAAGAAAGAACAGGGAAACAGAGAACACAGAAAATGAGATTACAGCCAGGAAAAAAGAAAGAAGGTGAATCCGAGAAGACAACGATCATTTCTATGCATCTGTTTTGTTTTTCACAAAGGGTCGAAGCAGGGAACACGATGATCTGAAACATTTTTGTTTTTTTTTCATTAGAGGACCTCACCTGATAAGGAAAACCTTTAGTTTTTTCCGTGTGTGTTTGTGTTTGGTTCAAGAACAGCGGGGGACGAAGAACAACAAAGATTTGGATTGGTTTTTAGATTTCATACATTTTGATTTTGTGATGTTCATCTTTAGGAGATCTGGTAACAAAGATGTGAAGACAATCTGTGTAATGTTGGTTCTGTGATGTTCATCTTCAACAAAGCTGGAAGATGATTTGGTGATGTTCATCTTAGTCTCCTGATTTCGATTACTGCGTGAGTGATTTTTTATTCATAGTTTCTAGATTTCAATCCTTAGATGGTTAAAAGATTTGTTTAAAGTTGGTTTTGAACGATGATAAATACAAAATGATTGGTATCTGATATCACATTGATCGATTTTTGGATGTTTCATCTTGTCTCGAGATTCTGATTTTGGGTTTGTTTTTTTTAGCATTTCTTGTGTGATCAATGATGGTTGTTGGAGATAGATGATGGATGGTGGTATATGGTGGTTGTCAACGTTGGTGTATAGTAGTAATGGTTGAATATTCATCAAAAAACAAGAAGACGTTGAATGTCTTCATGCTTCACATGAACAAAGGATGAAAACCGGTAGTACGTTAAAGTTAAAAAGAAACACAAAATACCAAAAAAAAAAAAAAAACATTTGGACCAATTCAGCTGACAAAAGAGCAAACAAGGATGTAACTTGCTTACCCTTTCACATCTAAATAAATGGTGTTTTTGATAACTCAACAATGTAACAATGTAACGTAAGAGAATATATAAAGGAGCATCTTGCAAACGAACCTTTTAGGCAGCCTTAATGTTGACCCAAGATTAAAGAATCTCAAAGAAATATTTTATTTATATTACCCTTTGATAAAATATTGAAAATTTTGTTTATGTATCTCAGGAAACAAGTAATAAGGACCACTGAAATAACATTATCTTACTAAACTAGATGTTTTGTTTTTATACCATTTTCCAACTACGGCTTTATGTAAAATCTCACCGGTTTAAGTTATGATGAAATAAAAGTTTTTATACCATGTTTTGTTTTTAATCACTTGTATTAAAGGCAAGCTAATTTTGAGTTGAGTTTTGTGCTTACATACTCTAAACCAAGGGTTCAAGTAAAAGGTTTATTTAGGCAGACAGATTGACACAACACGACACAATGCGAAAATTAAACAAATAAGTTGTAAAAACCCATTTAATTTTCAACTTGACATGGTTGCCAAAGATTAGATATATACTCCCAAATCAAATGGATGAATCTCTACAAGCCTAAGCTTTAAGCCATTAATTATTTCAATGCATTCAAGCAATATGATGGCATTCACAATTCCAATGAAGAAAGCATGCCCCAAAATCCACAAAGAAAAATCAAATCGTATGCATGCTCGCTCTGATTCTCGACCAAAAACCAACACGTTTAAAAGTAAATCATATGAAACAAACATAACATAACATAACAAAACAAAACAAAAGAACAGGACCTGTTAAATCCTGATGCTGCAGTAATCTCACCAGATTTTTATTCCGGCATTTTTTTTTAAAGGTGGAAAATTCAATCAGTGATGATGATGTTCATCCTCATCTAGTCCATCTGGAAGTCCTCCGGGACCCACTACTTCCAACTGCAAAAAACATTCAATGTATGATTAATTAAACATGCAACAATCTAATCAAATGTCACAATGTTTTTATAAAGAATTAATTTGCACTCACCTTGAAATATTGTGAGCAGACTGGGCATTCATGTGTTTCTCCTTTCTTTAGCCAAAACCAAACAACATCATGCTCATCCTCTTTATCAAAAAAAAATTACATAAAATGAGATATTTATATGATACAACTACAGTCTCCAAAACTACAGAAAAACAAAAACTCACCCCCTTCTGCACCAGGGCAACCAACAATTCTTTGGTCATAGTAAGATTTCACAATAGCAGGAGCTTCCTACAGCCAAACACAAAACAAAACAAAACATGAGATCACAGCTTCACCAAAACTTCTGATATAGGGCTTTCATGATACCTTCATACATGTTAGGGTTATGAATAGTGATATGTTAGGGTTAGGAAAGATATGGTAGAGCAAGAATACAATTCATAGCACGTTTATTAAAGTAAAGTATCTCAAAAACAGCTAATTCATAAACTAATTTTCATGTATATGTTGCAAAGTGCTAAAATTACTTCTTAGATACCTGGCATTCAAAGCAGTATCAGTATCCATAGAATAAACATAAATCTTTATGTGTACTGACATTATATATTGATGATATTAGGGATAGGTAACAAAAAGCTATAGTTCAACACAAGGTGTTGACATTGTTTTGATGCTTAGAGCAATTCAAAAAAATAGCAGATAGCTAAATTTCTGCAGTTATCTTTCTAATCAATATTATTGAAGCGTATCATTATCATAAAAGTTAGGAGTATCTGTATCCAATGAAAACAATTTCGCCTCTTTTGAGAAAAGAAAAATATCATTTGAAATAGAGTATAGATGTACTTTACCTTGGTACCGAATGGACCTTCAGGAAAATTGATATCAAGAATATCCCGTCCCTAATTACACAAAATAAACAATCAAGATTAATCACAATGACTGAAATTTAACAAAAAGCTCGACAAATCGAGCACAGAAAACTGACCTCGAGCTCGGCTTCAAGCTCCTCACGCTCGTGACCAGTCGCAATAGGCATCACATCTTCGACTTTCTTAGAAACGCTTCCTACAATGAACAATCAACGCACATCAAAACCACAAATCTCGAAACAATTGCATCCGCAACCAATAGACAGAGCTGTTAAACAAGAATTAAATTCAGATCTAAACGAAGACGATAGAAGCAAAAAAAAATACCTGAATAGTGACGAGCGATAACAGTGGCGGATGGCCGAAGAGTCGCCGGGGATAGTGAAGAGGTAACGATACGATTAGGTCTGGCAACAGATCGGAGTGCTAAGATCTTAGCAGACGCTCGTCTCCACATGGTTTCACCTTCACCGGAACCCTAGGTTTTCGGCTGTTGATCTGAATGGGCGACGGGAACTTTTCTTTTTCAACACTACGTAGGAGGAAAATTTTGGTAGAGGGTGAAAATGAAATATAAAATTGGGTGTGAAAGAATACCTTTATGCGAGGAGTGTGGGATGATCCTCTACCCGAGGGTGCAGGGAGCTAGCTGCTTCCTTATAATCAGTTGTCCTACATGCATACATACTTGTACATATCCCTCTAATTTAGCGAAGTCAACTTTTCGTATTTTACAACCTAATTGGGCCTTCTCTTATAAAATTTAAATCTGCCTATTTGTCTGAAAAGAACCCAATTGAATATTAAAATAAAAATATGTGAAGGGCCCAATTAATAGTCCTGATTAGCCTAGACCCGATTTTATTCCTGTCGGTTTTTTTTTTTTTTTTAGATTATGTAAAACTGCTTTAAAAAATATTAAATTAGAAATCACTTAAATAATATAATAAAAATTATAACATGAGTTTTATTTCTGCAATATGTCAATACTAAAATATAATATGAAATAAAATTATGATCTAACTAAAAGCATTGTTCTTTAAATAGAATTTTTCAATGTGTCATTGTGTACTTATGTCATACATAGGTAAGTTTAATCCCTCAGACATTTTCAATGATCAACTTCTTAAACGTTTATTATTTTTTAATTTTCAATGATCAACTTCTCATATGTTATATGAAGTCCGCGTATAAAATTTACAAATTTTTAATTATGTTATATTTCAAAAAAAAAAAAAAAAAAAAAAAAAACCATTAATTTACATTTATATTTAATTAAATAAAAACAATAAAGTATTATATGGTTATAACGTTTTTTAATATTTGGTATTTGTTTTGTTTATAAAGTTTGGACACATGATAAATATCTATAAAATATATTTATTTTTATTTTGTATATTTTAACTATATATAGGGTGTAAAATTCAATTTCATTAGTTATAGGATTAAGTATAGAAAACATAAAAACAATACATTACGCGAATAACGCGATTGAAGTTTACATGTGTTGATTTCAAAAACATCCACGTTCCAATGGTAAAAAATATACAATGACTTATTCAAATAGTAATAAGTTTTATAAAATCTACATAGGAGATGATCTTATCAATTTCTGGTTTCCAAATTTGAATTATAAAATAAACTGATAAATACAAACATCTTAAAATAAATAAATTAACTAAAGATGATTGTTATAAGAATTACCTAATGTATCGAGTTTTTTCTTCAACTTCATTTGCATATATGTTTCTCCTTGAATTGCTTCTATTCCCTTTGTCGTTGGTCGAGCCTTACAAGCACACCTATACCAAATGTTTTTCCTCTTTCTTTTAGTTTTAAGGGAGCTATTTTCAATCGTACTACCCAACACACTTGTACTACTTTCCCAAACATTTGTACTAGCTTATCCATTTTTAGAGAAAATTGTAAAATTAACAAAATATGTTAATTACTTTGTGGAAAATAGTAAAAAAAAAAAATCAAAATTACATTTTTAGCCTTCAAAATCACAGATGGATTAAACTCATTTGCGATTTTGACAACTTATTTGTGAACGTACAAATCGCTAAAACACAATCGTGCTTTAACGACTTGTACGTTCGCAGACGGACTCTGTGAACTAGGGATGAGCAAATGGATCGGGGAACCGGCCGGAACCGGTACCGGAACCGGAACCGGCACCGGAACCGGAACCCGATGGAACCGGTCGGGCCGGGACCGGGATGTTATTTTTGTAGATTTTTGGAACCGAGAACCGGAACCGATATAACCGGAACCGGTAGAACCGGCAAAAACCGGAACCGTATGATGCTATTTTTCAAGGACCGGTTCCAACATTTGAAGACACGACAAGAACCGGTAGGAACCGGGAACCGGTAGAACCGGACCGATAGAACCGCCGGGCCGGTTCGGTTCTTGATTTTGGCCGAAGCCGGTTCCCGGTTCCAGTCCGGTTCGGGCCGGTTCCGGCCGATTCGGTCCTTTTGCTCATCCCTACTGTGAACATAGAAACTCATCTGTAAACATAGTTGAGCCAAATATAAAAAAACGTTAAAAAAAAATTCTTTACTTTTTTACTCTTTTTGTTGAAAAACTCTCTCTGGTAACGATATTCTTAGCCCATCTATGATTATGGACGATTTAGTAGTTAAATCTTATCAATTTTGGTAATCAAAATTTATAAAAAAAAAAAATAATAATAATAATAATAATAATAATAATAATCCCAAGTCATAGCTCGAATGAAAGGAAATCATAGATGGGTTTATTCCATCTGCGATTTTAAGCATGCAAATGTATTTATACATCAAAAATAAAAAATAAAAATAAAAATAAAAATCATCTGCAAACGTACATGTCGTTAAAACACGATTATGCTTTAACAACTAGTACGTTCGCAGATGACTTGCTAAAATCGAAGATGGGCTTTGCTTAGTCCATCTGCGATTTTAATTTTGGTGGCTTAAAATATAATTTGGATATTTTTGGCTAATTTCCATAAAGTAATTAACAATATTTGACTAAATTTGTAATTAACATATTTTACTAAATTTGTAATTTTCTCATTTTTTTTTTAATCATTCATCGTTATTAATTATTATTAAATATAACTTAGAGCCCAATATTAATCTCTAGATTATTATTTTCTTAATGGATCGATATGGACAGCAATATTTCTTGCTTTCATTGTTAAGATTTTTTTCAATATCCTCTTGTGTATTGACTTGATTTTCACAACAAGATATTTGTCCTTTTCTAATTAACTTTAAAAGGTAATAAAGTTTCAAAAATGTACAAAAAATATCATTATTTTATTTTTAGTACTCAAAATACCATTAAAGTATATTTTTTATACACAAAATACCAATGAAGTACATATGTGTTCAAATAAAACCTTGTAGATAACCTACAATAGTCGGTAAAATGGTATTTTGTGTACCAAAAAAACCAATGGTTTTTTTTGTATATTTTTGAAACTTTGTTACCTTTTTAAGTCATTTTTCCTTCTTTGAATGTAATGGAAATTTAGCTATTTTCTATAAAGAACCCTCCACTTCACTTCGGCCACTATTGTTCTTCATCGCCACCCTCCACCACCATGGAAAAACCCTTTTTCTTATTCTTCCTCCTAATCATCTGCCTACTTTCATCAACGCCGGAATCTTGTCGGCCACCTCCGTTTCTCGGTAAATCCCCACGGCTTCTCAAAACCCAAAACATTCTCGTTCAGCTGAAGTACACTTACGAGACACGATACTTTGATCAGACTCTTGATCATTTCAGCTTCAATGATCTTCCCAAGTTCCAACAACGTTATCTCATCAACTCCTATCACTGGGTGGGCCCAGGCCCTAATCGTTTGGGCCCAATCTTCCTTTATTGCGGCAACGAAGGCAACATCGAATGGTTCGCTGCCAACACCGACTTCGTTTGGGAACTCACCCCTCCTTTTGGTGCCATGGTCATCTTCCTCGAAGTAAAAGCCCTAATCACTCTACTCTACATTAATTTCTTCACTTGCGGACCTTTAATAATACAATTTTATCAAAAGTTGCATGATTTGATCTAGCATCGATATTATGGTGAATCGATGCCATATGGAAGCCAGAAAGAGGCATACAAGAACGCTTCTACTTTAGCCTATCTAACAGTCGAACAAGCACTTGCTGATTACGCTCTTCTCATCACCGATTTGAAGAAAAATTTGTCAGCCGAAACGTCACCTGTAATCTTGTTCGGCGGATCATACAGTGGAAGTAAGATATTTTCCAACAATTTCAACAAAAATTAAACAAGCAGTTGTTGATTACACTATTCGCATCCCATTTACCTGAAGCCTGGTTACCACAATGTTGTAGTTGAACACATGTGTATTTTATTGGTATTTTGTGTACAAATAGTAACATTAATGGTATTTTTTGTACTAAAAAAACAACAATGGTATTTTTTGAACATTTGGAAACCGGATAACCTACAATAACCGGTAAAATGGTATTTTGTGTACAAAAAAAACAACAATGGTCTTTTTTGTACGGTTTTGAAACTTCGTTACCTTTTTAAGTCATTTTCCCTATATTGTTCACAAATAAGTTTACAAATAATATTAGGCGTCAAGATTCTTATATACAATATTAACGTTATCATATAAAAGATTAAATTTTATATAGTAACGAGGAGGGTTCAATTGAGAAAAAAAAATTGAGAATATGGGAATCATTCTCAGCAAATCATTTATTTTTGTCGCAAAAGTTTCCATTATACCGATGGAAATGGGAAAGTAATGCACATGTGTTTCCAACAAAACATGTTTCCTTAAATTATGCTAAGCATTACCTTAATATATACAAAAACATAGTTTTTTCGTTTTTTTTTTTAATTTTTAAGAAGCTATTTTTATCGAAAAACGATTTTAAATATATCAAAATTCATGATTTTTTATTCTCTACAAATAGATATCTATATTGATATACTTTTAAGATAAAATAATTTTTTTTTTTATATTTCCAACTATCGTTATTCATAAGTGAATAAAAATAAATCTGGTTTTTACTACAATATATTCGTTATTCACTTATGAATAAAAACTATGATTAATTATTTTTACAATTTAAGTATCATTAATATATGAATATAACATATACTAAACCTAATATATTCATATTTAAATATTAGACGATGAATTTACTTATGAATATTACATAGTATATTCACTTGTGAATGTTAGATGGTATATTCACTTATGAATATTATATGATATTTTTATATGTGAATATTATATAGTATTACATGGTATATCACATGATAATAGTACATAGTATATTCACTTGTGAATATTAGATCGTATATTCACTTATGAATAATAGTTGGTATATTCATATGTGAATATTACACAATATATTCATATATGAATATTACAATGTGTTTTCAGAAATATATATAATTTTTATATGTTATTCACATATGAATAACATACAGATTTGCATATTTGTTTTGTGTTTTAATAATCATATATTGATTCAGGTGAGAAAAGATATTCATATGTGAAATTAACATGGTAATTTAGTTTATGCATTTCATCAAACAGTTAGAGTGCATACAAGTTAACTTTTTTAAACATGTGATAAATATGATACTTTGACTACTTAAATCTTACAAAATAGTAGATTGGTAGAGAAATATATGAAAATTTCAAACAAAAAATGATTTGATCTTTTTCTAACCTTAATTTTGAAGTTTTATTTGATGAACGATGTTGAATGAATAATACAAATTGAATATTTTATTGATTATCGATGATGTTGTTCTAATGATGCTGGGAGTATAATTAATCGTAGATGTTGAAGATATGTTTGTATTCAAATATAATTGAAGGTTGGATTGAAAGAGCAAAAAACGAATGAATTTCAACTGTTCATATTTGTGATTGAAGGCTATTATATCATATTTACAAGTTTGTCATCGTGTCCTTTATGTTTAGAGGCTAATTAAATGAGTGGCTGAGAATGATTCCCCCATTATCAACCTTTTGTATTTTCTCAATTGAACCCACCTCTATATACAATGGGTATTATATATATATATATATATATATATATATATATATATATATATATATATATATATATATATATATATATATATATATATATATATATGGGAAAAGTGAATATACCATTAAGGGTATATAAGCTTAGGTACACAAATCCATCATAATACATCGTTTTGTTTGACATATTCATTATAATATTCTTAAACTTCAATCCCTAACTTGATTTACTTTCAAGATTTTCAAATTTTCATTATTATCTTCATCTTACATCAAATCTTTTTGCTGAACACCTAATAGGCTATATATGTTATAGTAAAAATGAAAATTATTTAAGAGGAAGATAAATGTGAAATTTACAAAAATCTTGAAAGTAAATCAAGTTAAAAGTTGAATTATATGAATATTGGGCAATTACAATATATATATATATATATATATATATATATATATATATATATATATCTGATACAAAATGAATAGTATGGTATATTTGGGTACCTAAGCTTATATACCCTTAAAGGTATATTCACTTTTCCATATATATATATATATATATATATATATATATATATATATATATATATATATATATATATATATATATATTCTATTACATTAAGCATATTGATTATTTCTTGAAATTTAAGAGGTACAAAAAATAAACCATTAAATACAATGGTTTAATGCTTACCTCCCCCAAAACTAATAAGTAATCCTTAACAAAAATAACAAAAACCCAACATGGAAAGTAGACTAAGAATTGATTTGAAAT